TATATATATATATTTATACACACACACACACACACACATATATATATATATATATATATATATATCTATGGGATAACGATATATACAATTTTTATATCAAGAACACTTTTGAAAGAAAAAATAAATGATGAATTTGAAAAAGTTTTTGTGACGATTTTCATCCGTTAGGACTTCATCGAACTGTTTGTTTACCTTGTTGAGACTGCGCATGCGCACAAACGAGATAGAGAGTAGAGTTTCAAAACCTTTTTTCAATCTGTTTTATGCGATATATACATTTTTGGATATCAAGAACAATATTGGGAAAAAATGCATGACAACGCGGGAAAAGATTCCTTGTGACGCATTTCGTCTTTTAGGTCCTAAAGGACGAAAACCGTCATGCAAAAATATTCCTGCCTATCATACATTTTCTATAATATATATATATATATATATATATATATATATTTTAAATAGTGGGTGCGCTATCGGTCTGTGCATTCAAGAAATTTCTTCTCGTATTGAAATCATTAACATCAGATCAATTTTAAATTGAGTCCACTTAGTGTATATCTTTTTTCTCTAGCAGTTCCTATACAGCATTTTGCTACTATTCTTTTTGCGATGATAGGTAAAAGTGTATATCAAATTATGTCGACTAGAAGGAACGATCATTATTTCTTTGAGAAAAAAAAATCTTACTCCTCGTATTTATTAAAACCACCCCATTTATTATGAACAATAAACATTTAATCAACAACGCAATACTAGATCGGCGTAATGATCTCAAAGTTTCACAGTTGAATTGTATAGATATAACGATAAGTTTTTGCTAACAATTTGTTCTTTCACACTTCTCGTTTGTAGATCTCACATCCGGTTTCCCGCTTTCCGTTTAAGGTTGATCTTAAAAAAATTAAACATAATAGCAATCATTATTTTCTGTCTTAATTTCTTTTCTTTGAATATTCCTGATCTTTAATCTTTTTTCTTATATTCTTTCACTCATTAATACCTTGCGTCTTAGTGGATTTGTTGCCTTGCTTCTGGTGAAATGATAAAAAAAGACATGGAGGTAGATGCTTTTTAAGCTGTTTCTGTCATCTTTTAATTTATTTATAAACATTTTCTATAATAACATTAGCTATCACCTAAGACAAATTGCAATAAATATTTTGATTAAAGACACAGGTTATGATCTAGAACTCACGATTTATTACTCATATAAAGATAGGTATAATCGGCAGCTTATACCAATAACGGTTGATTTTTCGTTGTGTTATGATGAAAACAATGATTTGCACAATAACATCTGATATCAGATATAAGCAGCAGTAAGAAAGCCAATATTGTTTTGAAGAATGGTCACTTATTTTTGTTTTATTGTTCTGTTGCGGTATTGATCATGGAAGTGGTATTTTATTTGTTATCATTTCAAGATAAAACATTTTATTTTCTCCTTGACCGGATTTCCAGCAATGTTTTTTTATGCCTTGTAATGTTCCTTCTATTAAATAACAAGGCACAACACTAATAAAATACATGAAAACTAGACCTTGCAAAGCACAGACAATAAATCACATTTTTCAATAGCTTTTATTGTAGAATCATAGCTCTGATGTTCAATCAGCCTTGTCAAAAGATGGCGGATAAAAGATGCAGAATGACAGTACTGCTTTTATATACAAGGGTTTCTCAAATAAATCTTACCCCGAGGAGTATAAAATGTGTATATCAACGCAAACATATGGATTAACTTATCTACCTGTGATATCGTGTCGAATTAGGCGTGGCTATATTTTCGACCCAGAGAGTCAAAGGAAGGCAGGTGCAAAGCTCACTTGAGATGGCCCTACCCAGGGGTGGGGGATTAGCGATTCACCTTTTGTCAGTGATTACTGCGCCTGGTCAAGTGAGAAAAAACCGCTGGACAGATGGATATGGAAGTAACAACCCCAGAGAAGATTCTTATACATTGCTGTCGGAGAATGTAAGGTCCACATACAAGGACAAGGGGCTCTATGTGGCCATATCACGGATTGACTATTACTAACAGAAGTTAGGATTTGAATAAAATGTATTATTAAATATATATATATATATATATATATATATATATATATATATATATATATATATATATAAATACATTTCGTGTTATTTAGTTGATCAATCCCTCTTAGCAGTTAGTCGATACCTCACTTCATTAAATTTCTTTGAACACACACACACACACTTGAAACCTTATTTTTGATTATTACCAGCATTTGAGTATACGTTCAGTTTTTAATTTTTAGGGCACATTTTTCTTTGATAGGTTTCCTCGAGTATGCAGAACGTTAAACGAATAAATACTGTTAAAAATAAAAAAAAACAAACGGAGCGTCTACTTAAATACGGTTATCCACTAAATCTAAGGCTTCAAATATGAAAAATATGTCGTATTTAAAATTAAAAGCCATTATTTCTTTAGAAATTGCTTGATTTACGTTTCGTATATGAAACTGAGTAGACTTTCGACAAAATATGAACGAGTTAGTGTGTTTTAAAGGCAAATAAAACCTTGCCTGATTTTGAAGTTCTTTGTAGCCTAGTGGTTTATATCAATCCGGATCAGATGGTGGATATTTTTTTCTAAAGTTTGAATCCTGTCGGTCGTCACTTTTTTTTTTATAGTTTTTTATCAAGTGTGCAAGACAGTAGACGAAATGCGTAATCGTTAAAAGAGAAAAAAAAACGGAAGCATTACACAAATAGGGGTATCCAATAAAAATAATGTTTTCATAAATAAAATTATGTTGGATTAAAAATAAAATTCATTGTTTCTTCTCTTTCTAGACACCCCCACACACAGACGATAAATTATAGTTTTATTGTATGATATGTTTTTTTTTTTAAATAAAAGTGCTCAATGTTCGTGAAAATGCGTCTGAAAATATAAGTGCACACTGAAGTTAACATCAAGTTTCAATCTTTCATATTTAAATATCAATAGCATGTATAGTTTATAAATTGGACCAATTGAACTGTATCCTTATTAATTTCAACCTGAAGTTTACCATAACGGCATCGAACTTCGAGTCATGGATGAGGTATATATCAACACAGACGTTTTTGTTATACAATATATTTCTTGTATCGTTGAAAAAGAAAACAGGCGTGTTCGAAAATTGCGACATTGAAATCACCCTATTTGTGCTTCAATTTAGTCAAAAGGTTAATATAACACTTATCAATATTATAGGCAATATTGGTATCATTTTGTTGGCATTTTTATTACTCAAATTTTATTAATCGGGCCATTAAATCTATATATATAATTTCTCTAAAGTTACCGGAAAAATCACGGGTTCAGTAAGTACTTGACTTCTCATGCTATTTGCAAGCTTTACAAGAGCCAGATCGGGCCGAAAATGAAGTACTGCTGGCATATTTGGAAAGGAATTGACCAATCGTCACTTTCATGTCTTGTCATAGTCCAAAAGCGTCTCCGCGTCCCTGTGGGTGATATTTTATTTTCCAATATATAACTCTTTTCCCAATGGACGAAACGTAACAAGCTTGCTATTTTCATGAATGTATTCAGACGAACTACATTCCTTAGTTCAACCAGTTATAGACTTTACGAACAAGACCCGTCATACCATTCACATGGTAACGAACCATTCTCATTCCCTTTATATTCAGTTGATGAGATGTAAGTTCCCCTCGAGCAGCATCTTCCCACGAACTGCTGCTTTGTTGAACCGACTTCCAAGAGGATGCTTCGCTGATCATTACAACCGTAACCTGTTTATATCTAGGGTTAAAGGTTATCTTCCCTAAAAACTGTTCCTTTTACTCATTATTCCTCAAACTTGTATAAAATGAATATGATTTTGAACAAACATTTAAAAGATGGTGTACTGTCAAAATAGAAATACTAATATGAATCCGTCAACATACACTTTAAATAATTCTAAGAGTTTGAATCCATACTCTGATATAGAAACCAATGCCTGTATAAAACTATGTTATAATTTGTATTTGCAGGATAATGTTTTTACTCTGGGTGGATGTGTAGGTAGGAGTTCATTGTTTAGTAAAAATTGTCTCAAATTCACTTCCACAACGGAAACTATCAGGAATTTTGCAGACAACAATTTATTTTTATTGTAAAAGATATTCTTCAAAATAGCGAGGAAAAATTCAAATTAACTGGAATAGGAAGAAAATATTCCCAATGAAAAAAACAAAACAAAGTAAAAAAAATAAACATAAAAAAAAACCAAAAAAAAAAAAACAGATATGTCCAAAAAGAAAAAAAAGAGGAAGATAGAAATAGATATGTCAATAGAGAGAGTATTATGAAGGTAGAAAAAAAAAAAAAACGACCGGAACAATTAATTCATAATCATTCAAACAGAAAACAAAATGGCGTATTATGAGGAGCAAAAACAAAAGAGAATGATGCAGACGAGAAATTGACCTGTGTAACGTTGCAAGAGCTTTCAGAATGGATGACAGGATAGAAATAAAAGAATGAAGAGAAAATGGAGAAAAAACGAAGTCAAAAATAAGTAAAGTGATACTAAGAAAAATAATTGTTAGGTAGGACAGAAAGAAAAAGTTAGACGGAAAAGAAAATGTTGAATATAAGGGAAACTTATGGAAAATATAAAGCGAAGAAAAATCGAAGAAAAGAAAAGACACAAGGCTATTGATCGAGAAAACGGAAGATACGAAGAAATAAAAGATAGTAAAACAAAGAATAGAATTAAAATAGAATGTAGGCATGAAGTAATATGAGTAAATTGTTTCGGTATTTAATATACAGTGCAAATCAGATCAAGAAAAAATGATGGAAACACACACAGAGACAAAAACGAAAGGAAAATGGTAAATGTAGATAAAAGAAAGAAAATGAAACAAATAAAGAGAAAAGAAAGAGTGGAAAATATAGATGAAACAAAAACAAATACAAAGAAAAGGAAGAAAAATAAAAAATGGTAAATATACAGAAAGGAACAAAGACGGAATTAATGAAAGAGAGATAGAAGTGAAAGGAAATAGAAACAGTAGAGAGAGAAAAGTGAGAGAGAAGAGAGAGGAAAGACAGAGAGAGAGAGAGAGAGAGTGGAAAGACAGAGAGAGAGAGGGAGAGAGAGAGAGGAAAGAGAGAGAGAGAGAAAAGAGAGAGAGAGAGAAAAGATATAGGGAAACAACAGGAAAAGAGAGTGAATAGAGTGGAAATAAGGGGAGAGACAGAGAAAGGAGAGGAACTAAGGAAAGCGAGAGAGAGAGAGAGAGAGAAAGAAAGAAAGAAAGAAAGAAAGAAGAAAACAAGTAATTTAAAAAAAAGAGAGAAGAATAATGAAAGAAACCGAGAAAAAGAGCAAGTAACGAAAGAGACAGAGAAAAGAGAGCAACAATGAAACAGACAGAGTAAAGCGAACAATAATAAAAGAAAAAAAAGAAAAGAGAGCAAGTAATGAATGTGAAAGAGAAAAGAAAGCAATATTAAAATTGAGAAAGAGAGTGAGAGAGAGAGAGAGAAAAGTGAGCAAGTAATGAGAGAGAGAGAGAGAGAGAGAGAGAGAATGAGAGCAATAATTAAAGAAAGAAAAGTGAGCAATTAATGAAAGAGAAAAGAGACAAGGCCATAAAATGTCAAAGAAAGGAATGGAAGTAATGAAAGAGTCGTCTGAACGGAAGGACAAGAAATGGAAAACGATGCACTGAAAATGAAAAAAAAATGTTTTAAATAAAACAAAGATATAGAAACAATTATACAGAGAAAAGAACAAAAGAAAGAAAAAAAATGAAGACAAAACGAAAGAAGTGGAAGGAAAAGAATAACTATAAAATAAATACAAATAAATAAAATAAAAAAAAAATGAAATAATTGCCAGAGATGAATAGAAGAATATTACAGAAAACTTGTTATTAACCTTCGCATTTATACAATCGGTAGCATTAACAGAATAGTAATTTTCCTTTTGAAAGCCGACGAGGAAAATTAAAATGAGTGAAACAGAAAAGGAAAAAGAAGGAATACTACTTTGAGAAGTTAGTCATGATAAAATTTTTAATGCAAAGTGCAGTTTATAGACTATAGTAAATTTCATAGCCTAAGAAACAACAATGATTTAAAAATATTTTTTATATCTTGCATTATTCTAGTTACTGAAGAAAGATTGATATGAGAGAGATAAAAAAAATAAAATGGATCGCAAAAAAAAGTATTTGATAGTGTTATACGAAAACAGGCCCTTCCATCATATTTTAGATCAGTATCACCCCAAGCATGGCAGTACACACAAAGGGGTTTACAGGCTGTGGAGGAATTAGGAACAAAAACTTTATTAATGAGGAGAAAGAAAAAAGCAATCAGGAGGACAGTGGATAGCGATTGACATTGCATTTAATTTTTGCAGATTAAAGTTGGTTGGAAAACAAGGAACCGGAAAGTGTTCCACAAGCGAGAAGTGCTGGATAAAAAAAAAACAAAACAAAACAAAAAAAACTGTTAGATGCAGATTTTTTTCCACTGACATGTTCTTTCAGAAAGTAGGTGAGCATGGCTCTCCACAAATTCCTTTTCTTTATTGTGAATTAGCGCTGTGCTTGCCCTCCACATGATTGGAAATTTAGAGTTTTCCTTCCCTTACACTGCTAAAGAGCACGGACTAACATATTTAAAACATTGCTGGGAGACTAGAAAAGAAGGTTTCATGCTTTTCCAAGGATTCTTGTGCGAAAGTGAACGCAGCATACCAGGCAGGAATTTGAACTCGGTTCGCAGATTCCAATTTCTACGACGAAATCCATCATACTACTGGCACTTGGAACGTTGGCGTGGCATAAGCGTCGTTATTTCGTTTTTACCATTTACCTCCGTACCGTATTAAGCTAAGCTTAATAAAAATTGATGAAATGTTGCAAATTAAAGATGGCGGCATTCGGATCGGTGGGTAAAGTGTTAAAGTCAGCAATCTAATCTGAAGTCATTTCGTGCTAATGCCCTTGAGAATGGTATTCCGACAGAAGAAAAAAATATCTTGCATAAAGCCAGAAATCGAAAAACACGCACATCAATAAAATCGTAAGTAATCACTCCAGAATCACTCACCAAGCGGCAGAATTGGATTCAGAATCAGTTGAAGCAAACTGAAAAAAAAAATCTCCCAGCGCAACAAATTTAGAAACAAACCAACTTCGATTAACATAACAGTAGTAATTAATTTTATGAATTCTGTTACTATCAACACTAAAACTAATCCTTTCTCAGTATTAAATAAATACATAAATAATGAAAATAATAAACACCAAGTATGGCTCTCATGGCTTCTGATCTTAATTGATTTGAGATATTTACGTAGGTATTTGTCAGTGTGAATTTAAAAAAGATATCGTTTCACTTCAAGCAAGGCAAGTAAACCACTAAGACAATAATATACTGAGTATTAGAGAATATGTAAAAAAAAAAGATTATTAAAGAGAGAGGACAATGCAAGAGGAATTAATACAGGAAATATCGAATGACATTGCATTTAATCCTTGGAGATCAAAAGTAACTGGGAAGCAAAGTTGGAAGAGAATTCCACAAGCGAAGAATTCAATAGAAGAAAGTTTTAGCATAGAACTTATGGTTACATCGAGCCTTTGCCAACAACCTAGTACTACGTTTCAATTCACAAAGTCTATGTATCACAGAGGAATGTTTATCAGAACAATTACCAAGAAAGTATTTATAGAAAAGGCAGCGGGTAGATATGTTACGTCGCTAGGAAAATGACTGAAGCCGGATATGCCAGATGAGGATCAATAACATTACAAATTCCTCTTTGGATTTAAGACTTAAGATGAGTTACAGCAGATATCCGTTTCAATACCACCAATTTTCTTGTCAATTGCTTGATTAACTAGTTGTTTGTGTCTTCTAAAATCTGACACTGTACATCTCTGTTAATGAGCAGGAGTAATGGGGAAGCATTATGACTTCTTGTTAAATTTGATTTTTAACTGAGAAGAATCAATCAGCATATAATTTGCTTTGATTGGGAGGCAAGCTAAGAATGTACGGTTTATTTATATTACAATAATGACTATATAGGTTTGTTTGAGCATGTTGCAGAATGTCTTTTTCTGCGTCCGTCTGAAGGTGTAATGCATGATGGTCAGTAAAATAAACCATGAAGGTGATGAGTTACGTATCGGGTTCGTCAGAATCAAGCAGATTTTGGATTACCTTTTTTGATTATTAGTTAGACATGATTATTTCACTAAAGAGTATTCCCTAAAGGGGAAATAAAATAAATAAAAAAAAAAGAAAAACAAGAGAAGAATCAAAGAAAAAACCAAAAAAAAAAAAAAATAGTAAAAAACGACTATCGCTAGTATTATTAATAATAATCTCGTGTGTCGAGAGGATTTTATGTTAAAGTTTGAATAGTTAGGAAACCAAGGTAAATAGATACTTTGGAACACACTCCGAGTGGACTGGTTATTTCTAACAAGGCCCGCCTTTCGAGTTTTATCAAATCCTGCCAATATATCGCACACATTTGAATATGATGGAAGCATAAAGTATAGACATATCAAACTAAACTTCATCTAACTCCATCGACACTAAATTGGTATGCTGTTCTCTCTATCTCTCTCTCTTTCTCTCTCTCTCTCTCAATAATAATAATACTAATAATAATACGAGGAAGAAGAAGAAGAAAGACGAAAGAAAAAAAGAGAAAGGAAGATAGATGTGAACGAAAGGTAAAGGTACATTTATGTTATATGGGAATAAAGTGTCGCAAACGACACTTCTGTTTGAACATAGATTGCCAGTGAGCAAACACAGGAGATCCCATTATTGAATTAAGGAGACCAAGTGGTTATAGAGGAAACGCATAGATGGTAGGTAGCGTGTGTATAACGTATCTGCATTAGTAGTCTATACTCTACTATTCAGATCATCATTTCTATTCTATCCTCTATTACTATACGGACATCTATTCTCTACTTTGTTCACTGTATTATTTCTCTATTCGGATCACTATACAGATTACTATTCGAGCGAGTATTATCGAGCAAGTAATATTAGTGCGAGTGCTATTCGAAGGCGTCTGACGCCAGTATTATTCAACGGTGTACTATAGTTGTATCTGCAATTACAAAGTCTCTACTACAACGAACATTACGAAAGTGACAACGACATCACAAAAAGAAAACAACCAGTAGAAGTACAAGTCTTAGTAATAGGTGAAAATGAGTAGCGTATAAAGAGAGTTCAATGATACATGTATAAGAAACGGATCAGAGATTCTAGTTAAAGTGTGAAGTGAGCAGCCATGGTCAAATACAAAATAAGTAACAGATGTTGTCCGACAAAAAGAACTAAGTTTTCAACAAGCAATAGAACAGGGCAAATAATGATATAAAGCGAGCAAACAATGTATGCAATGCAAATCAACAGTAATAAAGAAAAATAAACAGTAATATGGCAAAAAAACCTATGAATTGGGTTAGATACACAAAGATACTTAGCGTTCTGACTTCAAGACAAGACAGACCGGGACTGAGTCAAATGAAAGCAAGAAGCGGCCTTTTTTATTAGCTCGAAAAAAAAACAGCATCAGGGAGAGGCAAGGTCTTTACAACCATTCTCATACCGATTGAAATCAATTACATCTCCCACTGCCGCTAGTAACCAAGCACTCTAATGAAACAAACGTTTTTAGTGATAAAGCAGAATTAGTCAAATAAAGCTTTATAAGTTTCTACTTAGATTTGTTGCTATATTACAGCAACATTCGCAATAATAATAACAGTAATATTAAGAACAATAATAAGAATCTATTTGTTCGTTCCTTAGCCCGTACGTTAGGCTTTGTTGATATCTCAAATAATGAACTATTCCATTTTGATCTCCTGGAAAGATGAAAATGACAAATCAGAGATGCTTTTGGATTCAGTAAGAAAAAGAAAGGAAGAGAGAAAGAGAGGAAGAAGGTGATAATGCTGTCATGTGTTTAACATCTGCTTCAATGAAATGGAAAACTTGTCAATTTTAAACATTTTCATTTGTATCCTTTTACTTGAAATAATATCTTGCATTCTACACTTATGACTGTTAGCGCAATATTTTGCTACAGTTGTTAAGCTCAAATAGTTAACGATTCAAAAAGGGAATTATCACAGGTATTTATATTCGTAGAACTCACAAAAACGAAAGCCACACAGAATTGTGGATAACGGAAAAGAAACTACAAAATCTCCTATAGAAGATAACGGCGGAGAGTGAGAAGAAGCCGGAACTATAAAAAGACGTAATGCATGGTCATCCGTAGGAGGATGAGACCGAAATGCGATTTACAGTTCGAGAATACTAGAATCAAGCAGACGCGGAAGTTTAAATATCTGGGAAATGTTTGACGGTAAGTACGACACCGAGATTAGTTGACGTATTGGGATTGCGAAGGACGCATTCCATAAGCTGGGCAGAGTATTGCGAGACAGGAGGATTTCTTTGGTAACAAATAAAAGGATACTGAACAGTTACGTGACATCTGTCCTTCTTTACGACAGCGAATGCTGGACGATTTCCTCAAGGATGAAGAAGAGACTCGAGATGAGGGAGATCTGGTTTTCCAGAAGGATGCTGACGATTTCGTGAGCCGAATGTATGAGCAACAATGAGGTCTTGGAGAGGATGAAAACAAGGAGAAGGCCCATGCTTAACATCAAGAAGAGGGAGATGAAATTTCTGGGACACATAACGAGGAAGGAGGGCCTTGAGAATCTGATACTCACGTGTCGAATAAAGCGAAAGAGAGACAAGGGAAATCAGCGGGTGAAATTCCTGGCGGGCTTGAGCAAGTGGATGACAAAACGTGGTCTGGGGAAGCAGAGGGAAGGAACTTGTTGAGACCAGCAAGGGATAGAGTGAGGTGGAGAGCCATGATCGCCGACGTCCTGAAAGGAGATGACACATAAAAAGAAAGAAAAGAAGAACTCAGAAAACGCTTATTCAGTCATTAACTTGAGATTCATTAGAACAGTGAAATAGCAAAATCATGAGAATTTAAAGAGTACTACTACTGATTCCAGGAAACGACTACATTCTAAAAAGTCTGTCAATTATGTGCCATGCATTATACACGCTTAGGCTATCATGTATCTTTCAATACATGACTGACGAGGCAATTTTTTTTCTGTAGTAGGTTGCCATTTCTTTGTACAGTAGACCAGTTGTCATCCAAGGCTATAGAACCCAGTTTGTCCTGTTATTTACCCATAGCTGGAGGTGGGGAGAAGAGGATTCATACTTTTCCGAAGGTTATTAGCACGTAAGTGAATGTTATGGATTCGACTGAAATTCGAACTCGGCTCTAAAATTCCATAATCCGAGCCGCTATCTATTATTCCATCGTGTCTCCACTACTACTGCTCCTCGTACTATTAATAATTATATTTGTATAATATACAAAGCAGGAATAAGATTAGAAGAGACGGAAGACGAAAAGAATAAGATTCCAACACTTAAAAACAATGTGAGGAAAAAGAATTAAAAGCAGCTAGAAGACAAAGTGGACAAAGCAATCACAAACAGAAAGACTCTAATTATAATAATAGCAAAATAATTTAAAAAAAACCCCAAAAAACAAAGACTTCACAAGAAAAAAGACTAACGAAAAAAAAAAAAAAAAGACGAAAAAGAAACCCGGTGATGACGATAATGATGTTTGTAACTGTTCCAAACGATCAGTGCAAACACTTTAGAGTTGATCGATCGATCGATCTTTTTAGCTTACATATTCCACTGATAGCGATCGATTTCAGTGTGCAGTAACGACGATGAAAATCGATGCCGAGTATTTTATGCCGATACGTTGATCCATACGACTAGTGAACTCTGTCAAATAAATGGATCAATTGAATAATCGATGGACTGATCCGGAACGTCTAAGCCTCTGTTAGCAGTCTGATAAACTAGTATCATACGAACAGAATACAGAAAGATTTTCTGTATTATTTTTTCATTCTTTACTGATCAATATCCGATATAATACTCATTCATATCGATCACTGAGTTATAAATACAATAAAATCGCAATTGGAATGTCAAATATCGCTTTAAGTTTTAACTTATTTCCTTTATTTTTCTGAATTTATGCTATATTTTTTCATATTTGTCATTGGACGCTGAGCGTTGGCTAACATATTGATTCGGAACAAATTTCGTAACGTTTTTAAGCGAATTTCAAAGAACATAGAGAATTATACAGATTTATTCAACTACACAAGCGCCATTTTGTTCCACTGCCCGTCGCCATCTTTTAAGAACCATCAGGATTTCTTTCTTTCATAACTTGGCATCTTTCTTGATGACGAACTGTTCTTAGTCCTGGACATGACGATAAACTACATCCAGCAGCAAGACATCTGATCGGGAGATTGGCAATTTTGCGGAGTGTGGAAAAATCTCTTAATTTGCTTTTGTTCCTAGGTGTATCCAGGGTGGTAGCACTGGTTAGGGTAACAGCTATGGAAAAACTGTGAGTCCCCCAAACAAAAACAAAACACTATAAATTATAAAAATGCATTTTTATATAGTAAAATTAAAAGCAATATTTTTTTTTATATAGTAAAATTAGCAACAATACATTTTTAAAGCAAAATGACCAGCAATGCTTTTTTGAGTTGAATTAGGGACAAATCATATTATTTCAAAATGAATAACAATATATGTTATCTATAATTGTGGCCATAGAAATGCATTAAAAAAATATTTAGTTGAAGCTATAGAATTGTGTTCAAAATATTTAGATTTCGGCATTAAATGACCTATAGAGCTTGATATGCTGGTAAACAAAATCAGCCAACCATCGAACTGTTCTGAGTAATTTCAATACCGGATTCTAGAATATTTAAGTTCTCCAAATTGAAAGAAAAACTGTTGAAATTAGAATAAGTGCTAATAAGGAGGTGCAAGGTGAAGTCAGTTCGGTGGATGTAAGTGCAATTACCAGCGAAGGTGTAGCAATTTCCATCGGGTCTGCAAAAATGACGAAGTTTGGTGATGTTCTGATGGAAGACAACACTCCTCTAATTGGCCATTTCTGAATGCTTGGCATCGATTCCTGAATTAAACGGTTCAACTGGGCAAAATAATTGTTTTGAAGGCATAGCCTGATTTTGTGGAAATAGCTCGCAATAGAGAATATAATCCGTAATGTCTTTCTAATGTGAATAGATACAGTGTATCTATTCGGATTGAAATCGAGATGAAGAATGGCTTTTCTGTATTCCCCGGTAGTTTAGAACGGAAACAAGTTTCTAAACAAGCCTCTTTAACGGCAGATGTAAGTTCCTTTAAAAATGCGTCGTTTTTATTACATTTGAACTGAGAATGTCAAATGGAAATTCAGTCCGTTAATTTGTTTCCGCTAAAACGTGAGGCATCCGAACATCGTAGCGATACACATGCTCAAATGTTTTTGAATGCTTTACAAAACACACATGAAATGTGTGGAGTATCTCTGCAATGCTCTCTGTTGTGCGACTCGGATTATTTTTAATCAGGTTTTAGCAAGGATAAAGCCAAAACGCAAATTACAAATCACTAAAATCAAACAAGGACAAAAAATTTAATATCTGAAAAGTTTTCTATTAGAGGGACTGAAAGTGCGATTAAGAGCTACAAGGGACAAGAAGATGTGAAGGACCCTGATTCGCTACGTCCTGAAGGGATACCACACATAAAAGAAGAATTATGATCCATAACT